ACCTACAGCTACATTTCACAGTTACTTCCTGTGTGCTAACTATTGGGTGATAGTGCCACGAGATGAGGTAATTGTATGGCTGCTGATGTTACCCATCAAATCCTGTTCTCTGCTAGCTAAACCACTTTTCCTCAGGGCACTAGTATATACAGAGAACTGGTGACTCAGGCCAGGTTTGCTGTTGTATGAATTTCTCATGCTCCTGTCCCAGATTCCCTTGCAACCAGCACAGGAATGTTGTGTCACTATTCCAGAGATGTGTCATTAATTTACCCAGGGACATAACACTGATCTGATTGCTACACTGATACAACAGAGTCTGCAGCAATCACACTGTGCTGCTAATGGAGGAGATTCTTAGCAGCTATCCCTGTTTTGAACAAGGGTGTTCCATATCCAGTTTGAGGCAGCATGATAGCTACCTGCTCTTTCCACACTTTTTCAGGTGTCAAGAGACCCCTTCTTGAATCACATCTCTTCAATACCCCACAGCTCTAAGTACATAGGTGAAGTAGATTGTGCCCAAAAGAATTTTGTACACCAAACATATTGGGCACCTACTGTGGAGTTATAATCTGTGGGAATGCTTCATCATTTTACAGGTATCTTGGAGAGAACATTGGCATTCTCACATCTGCAATGTTCCTTGCACAACACTGTCTTAGAAGGGCAGTATGAAATTAAGAAGAACATGTTTCATGTTCCCGTGGTTAAGTACACTTCTGAGGTGAATTCCCTCAGCCCACTGTGAAGAAGACCAATGTGTTCTCTCCTCCACAGTATAGAAACTTGGATTGGGCATTCTGAATATTCCTAGCAAGAAAGAGGTAGATTTCCAACTGTCCCATGTGGGCAAAGCAAGAAAAGAGGAGTAATATTATACAGTTCTTCACAGCTTCTGTGAAACCTTCTGTGGTAAAATTACATTTCTTTAAAGCCCTGAAAAGCCTGAAGGGACTGAATATGTGTCATTGATAGAAAAGAAGATTAGCAGGTGGCATGTTGACAGTTTTCAATTACATAAAAGAATGTCAAGAGATAAGGAAGAGCAAGTGCCTTCTATAGATAGTCAGAAAGGAAACACAGAGGCCTTTTTAGAATTCTCATCACAGGTGCATCCTCCCAAGAATGCCAGTCAGAGGCAGACCAACCATTAGGAAGGTGAACCCAGCCCACTGTCACAGACTTGAGAATACCTTTGAAGTCACCCAGACTGGCAAGTATGCAATTTATTGCTCTGTTTTACAGCAGCAGATAACATAAGCCACCTAGATTTCCTTTTGCTGGAAGAAACAATTATTGGGCTGCTTCTGAAGTCAGTACAGATGAGCCCATGAAATAGTACAGGTATATTATCTGCTCATATGCAGTGTGTGCACACTACAACTAGATTATTCACAATGCTTTATGGCACGTCCTTCACACATATAACATACTGATTACAACTCGTTCTCAAAACCTTATATCCAGGTTCAAATAGCAAACCTGTGCAAACTGCAGCTCAAACTTGTCTGCAAGGCCATGCTTTCCACCTCCACGCATGAGCCCCTTTGCATAACTATCTCTCAGAAATTCCAGTCTTAGACTGGGAACCATGATAGAAAGGTTGACATGAATTCAGATTTGCCTCTGAGACTTGACTTTTGACACATACTCCAATGTTCACATGCAACCCGGGCCTAAATATATGTTCTGCTCACACGAAAATCCCAGTTTGCAGACTGGACCTTACTCTGGAGTAAATACACTACGCATGTAATCCATGAGTTGTAAACCCCATAGGGCACAATGGTGTTTAATTTTAGTAAATATAGATTTGAAATTAAGTGCTCTTTGTGCTCTTGAGTGTGTGCCCAATCAGATGATCAGGCATGTGACTAGGAACACAATGTGAAACCTTATTAACAAGCACCATGCTAATAAACAGCAGTGTGTGATTTCTTTTATCCAAGCATAAATCAGTAATAGGTTCCTGGATAATGTCTGAGAAATATCCCATGGCATTCATGCATGCAAGCATGTATACACAAATCAATCAATCAGTCAATCAATCAATCAGTCAATCAATCAATCAATCCCTATATAATGAAATTACTGCCTGCTACAGAGTTACCATTTGGAATGTGTTTGAAATATTTGTCCACTCCAAGGGATTCATATCAGGGAAAATGGAATTGGAATTGACCCAGACTATTACAGGAAGCAAGCAATTTATTCTATTGGACTTTAAATGAGTTATAGAGAACTGTTACTTGCATTAATTTAGCTATATTTTTATTTGCCCAAGCAATATACTGTAGTTTTAAAACATTTAATTCAAAGTGCTGGTTTTAAGTGTGTGTGTTGTGTGTTTAGTTGTTTAGTCGTGTCCGACTCTTCGTGACCCCATGGACCAGAGCACGCCAGGCCCTCCTGTCTTCTACTGCCTCCCGTAGTTGTGTCAGGTTCATGTTGGTTGCTTCGCAGACACTGTCCCGCCATCTCATCCTCGGTCGTCCCCTTCTCCTCTTGCCATCACACTTTCCCAACATCAGGGTCTTTTCCAGGGAGTCTTTTCTTCTCATTAGATGGCCAAAGTACTGGAGCCTCAGCTTCAGGATCTGTCCTTCCAGTGAGCACTGAGGGTTGATTTCCTTTAGAACTGATAGGTTTGTTCTCCTTGCAGTCCAGGGGATTCTCAAGAGCCTCCTCCAGCACCACAATTCAAAGGCATCAATTCTTCGGCGGTCTGCTTTCTTTATGGTCCAGCTCTCACTTCCATACATCACGACAGGAAAAACCATAGCTTTGACTATTCGGACTTTTGTTGGCAAGGTGATGTCTCTGCTTTTCAAGATGCTGTCCAGATTTGTCATCGCTTTCCTCCCAAGAAGAAGGCGCCTTTTAATTTCAGGGCTGCTGTCTCCATCTGCAGTGATCATGGAGCCCAGGAAGATAAAATTTGACACTGCCTCCATATCTTCCCCTTCTATTTCCCAGGAGGTGATGGGACCAGTGGCCATGATCTTAGTTTTTTTGATGTTGAGTTTCAGACCGTTTTTTGCACTCTCCTCTTTCACTCTCATTACAAGGTTCTTTAATTCCTCCTCACTTTCTGCCATCAGAGTGGTATCATCTGCATATCGGAGGTTGTTGATATTTCTTCCGGCAATCTTAATTCCGGCTTGGGTTTCTTCCAGTCCAGCCTTCCGCATGATGTATTCTGCATATAAGTTAAATAAGCTGGGGGACAATATACAGCCTTGCCGTACTCCTTTCCCAATTTTGAACCACTCAGTTGTTCCATGACCAGTTCTAACTGTTGCTTCCTGTCCCACATATAGGTTTCTCAGGAGATGGATAAGGTGGTCAGGCACTCCCATTTCTTTAAGAACTTGCCATAGTTTGTTGTGGTCCACACAGTCAAAGGCTTTTGCATAGTCAATGAAGCAGAAGTAGATATTTTTCTGGAACTCTCTGGCTTTCTCCATAATCCAGCGCAAGTTAGCAATTTGGTCTCGAGTTCCTCTGCCTCTTCGGAATCCAGCTTGTACTTCTGGGAGTTCTCGGTCCACATACTGCTGAAGCCTACCTTGTAGGATTTTGAGCATAACCTTGCTAGCGTGTGAAATGAGTGCAATTGTACGGTAGTTGGAGCATTCTTTGGCACTGCCTTTCTTTGGGATTGGGATGTAGACTGATCTTTTCCAATCCTCTGGCCACTGTTGAGTTTTCCAAACTTGCTGGCATATTGAATGTAGCACCTTAACAGCATCATCTTTCAAGATTTTAAATAGTTCAACTGGAATGCCATCACCTCCACTGGCCTTGTTGTTAGCCAGGCTTTCTAAGGCCCACTTGACTTCGCTCTCCAGGATGTCTGGCTCAAGGTCAGCAACTACATTGTCTGGGTTGTCCGGGATATCCACATCTTTCTGATATAATTCCTCCGTGTATTCTTGCCACCTCTTCTTGACGTCATCTGCTTCTGTTAGGTCCCTCCCATTTTTGTCTTTTATCATGTTCATTTAATTCAAAGTGCTGGTTTTAACCTATAAAGCCATAATTGGCCTAGGTTCAAGCTCTCTCAAAAACCATGTTTCCCATTATGAGCCAGGCAGCTTGGGTGTTAAGATCATCAAGAGAGGCCATTCTCTTGGTCCCACCACCTTCAGAGGTGTGTTTGAGGGGGACACAGGAGAGGGCTTTCTCTGTTGCTACACCCAAACTCTGGAACTCCCTCCCACAGGTGGCCATACCAGCTCCAATTTTGCTATCCTTCCACAAACAGGTGAAGACCTTTCTCTTCAGGCTAGTTTTCCCTCAGTCTGACTTTTAGATGGATTGTTATACAATACTGCTTTGACAGTGTTTTAGTACCATTTGTATTTACTATTTCTCAGAGTGATATTTGTTTGTCAATTTTTAATATCTGTATTTTTATTGTTTTTAGTTTTAATATTGTATTTTAATAATGTAAGCTGCCTTTTTATACTCATTGTTCTTAGTTTTAAATATTGTCTTTTAATGATATAAGCCTCCTTGGGTCCTTTTAAGGAAAAAGGTGGGTAAAAATATTGTAAATAAAATAAACAAGTTTCCATATCAAAAAGTAACACAATGATTACTAAAGAAATTCATCCTTTTGACTTATACTGAAAACTGAAATCCCAAATAATTCTGCACAACATAAATTCATCCAGGCTAAAGATGTACCAGAAGGTTCAAAGTGAATTAGTTTAGGATAATACATGTCATTCAAAATATTTTGTTCTAGCAGATTATGCTATTTGAAAGTCAGCCATTTATATACAAAAGATTAAATCACCATTTAGTCATCAAACTTCTTCTTCATAGTTCATGATAAAATGCTTCAGAAGCTGTAAAATACCATATATTTATACTTTAAATTTTATTAGACACATTTTCTGTATTGCCAGAGATGAACATACAAAATCAACAAAATAGCTTGTCAGTGAAAATCCTTAAATGCCATTAAAGTTTTTTTTTAGTTTGCTTGATTTCCCAAAGTACCAACAGAAACAGCGAAGTTCAATACTTTCTCGGTCTTACAATTTCTTGAGGCTGCTACAAATCCAGTATTCATCCAGAACACTTCAGGGTTTCCTTCTGGCTTTGATGCCATCCTCTGATGTAATGAAACTGAGAGTTGTAGCCCATTGGTCCTGGACAGGTGTGAGGGAAGAATGTTAGAATTCACAACAGTAAAATGAGCTGCTTAAAAGCTCTTTAGTCCTTCTTCCTTTCAAACAGAAATCTGAGCTTGAGAAGATGTCCTTGCTTCCTCTCAGCTGCCTCTCCCTATCCAAAAACACACTCTTCTTTCCCAAACCACATTGTCCTCAACATCATGCCCCACATTCCTTTATTCCTTTATTTACTGTGGCATTTCTATCTCATCTTTCTTCTGATAATACCAAACAGCATAGATAGTCCTTCTTAATTTTTCCTCACAGTAGTCCTATAGGAAAGTGAAGCTCAGAAAGAATGACTAGGCAAAGGTCACCGAGTAACTTTTGTGACTAAGTGGCTTGACTCTGGATTTCCCTGAATATAAACAAGTACAGTACCTGAATATTTCCACCAACAGGAACCTTGGAAACTTTCTATGGAAGTTCTTCCTATCAGAAACATCAGAATAATAAAAATGGATGTATACATTAAGGTTCATTCTTGAGCATGTGTATGCATGTACACACACACACACACATACACACACACACAGTGGTTTCAGTAGATATGCTGACAAATGAAAATGGTGTTTGGATTCCATCACTTTGTTGACGACAAAGCTTCAAATCTGCCAAGTGGGAAATCCATTGGTATTTAAGGAAACCACGAGACAACATAAATTTAAGTGGCAGATCCAGAAAAGTTATAATTTGAACACAGCAGGGTTTTGAGATGCAACACATCCAAAGAACAGCAGCAACTTGCTGTTGCCATTGGCAATAAATGGTCTGTTTCCACGGCAATTGCTTAGTTTCCTGGGCAACCCTGGCTTTTCTCCGCAAAGTACTTTGCTAGCAGTTGACCCAAACTTCTCCAAGATTTGACATGCACAGTATTTTCTCACAGGAGAGATTCTAATTGCACTTAATGGGACATGAGTCTAAAAAATAATTATTCCCTAAGATCAGTGAAACTGATGTTGTTTCAAATAAATATGCAGTATTTGGCACTCCGGTGCATAGCAGGTGCATTACTTGGCATTTATGAGAACAGAAAGGCTGGGTAGCTGTGCTACCATTCCTCAGGAGTCCAGTGAAAGGCAGTGAAAAAGATACCATACCTACTCTAGATACCACCTATGAGACAGTCAGACCTGACACCCTTAAACCTGACCCACAATCAGTGGACAGTGTTCAAGACATCACTTCTACTTACTACCTGAATAACAGATTAAAATCTTTACGTATACACCTTCCCTATGTCCCGACATCATGCACAAGGTGAACTCTCTCTCTCTCTCTCTCTCTCTCTCTCTCTCTAAGCAAAAGTGAACAAAGAATCAGAAGCAGTGATCTTCATACCCAAGAGGCATCCAGAAGGATGGTTTCTATGTCCATCAACAGACTTTAATGCAGCTGTTCCCTCTTTTCCTTTTTAATGGGTTTCCTGAAGAGAAGTGGGTCGATGGAAGAAGTGGTGGAAAAATATGGGAGAGTTAGAAGGGAAAATCTCTGTGCCTGCACGTAATTCTGCCGGTGAAGCACAATAGATTGCACAATAAATGCCTCTGTGGGAGCACTCTTAGTCAGTCTTGACCCATTGAATCACATCACAGAAAGGTAATTCCCATTGCAGGAGAAACTGCTGAAGTCTGGATAACAGGGTAGATGAAGGAAGAATTGAGGTTTACACAAGTCTGCCTACCAACTTTGTTGATATGTGAAAATTGTTCATATGATTGCCATTCCAAATACTCTTTAATCATGGACTAAGGCAGGAAGAGATGCAGGAACTGTTGCTCCCATTTGCCATTAACTTGGCTGGTTGTATTCTGTGAACTAAACACAACAAAACAAATCAAGATTAATCAGATGTGAATCACCCCCACCAAAAGGAACTTATAACTTGTGATACAGAGAAAGTCAGAACTATCCAGGGTTCCTCTGCTGTGGAAATGCAAAGGTACAGCCCCAAAGGGAGCCAAAGAATGCCCTTCACTTCCTGGATGCTAAATTTTAAAGCTATTCAACTCCATATCCAATGACCATAATGACATTGTGTTATTTATGTCAAATGTAAATGCCTGTATCAGGACCCTTTAAACAAAGCCCATCAAGTGTCCATAAGGTCCAGTCCATCTTGTGATTATGATATGCATGCACTGACACAGTCAGGGTGGAGAACAGTGTTGATATCCTTAACACAAAGATGGGGAAAGTTACTGTTGTGGATAACAGCTGCCAGAACCAGCATCTAGTGGGCCAGTGAAGCATTCTGAGAGCTGTAGCTCAGAAACGTAACATTTCCCATCTGAGATTTCACACTGCCCAGTGATGTTTAGACAGAGACGGTCAAAACTTGCAATAAATAGATACAAAGAAGAATCTCCATGTAACATGCCACATCTGTGAGTCAATTTCTCATACAGATGCAGTTAATCAAACTTATAAGCACAAATAACAGAAAGAAAATCAACAACAAACTACAATAACAAAGTCGCTGACTTATGTGAGGAGCCACTTTCCATGTGGCCAAGTCCACTTCATCAGACATAAGAGCATAAGAACATGAAGCTTACCATACAGATAGGCTTTCATACACTTTATTCTCAAATAAGAACTGTGCTCATGTGCTGTATATAAACTGGCCCTTGTGGAGCTACTCAGACAATCTTAGCTGAAAAATAGGTTAAGAAAAGGTTTTGTTGAACAAGGAAAATACGAAAACTGCTTTGAGCTCAGGATTTAGTCTACTCTGTCCCACTAGATGTTTAGTCTACAATTCCTACAATCTCCCAGCCGCTCTCTCCAGCTCTACAAATCCAATAATAAAAAATAAGAAGCAAACTGTTATAATTTCATGACAACCTAAAACTGCTTCCTGAGGATCCAGTTCCTTCACTTTCCTTAACAGGACAAGTCCTGTCCTTAGCTGGAAGGGAAAGTATGTCATAACTCCAGTGCTTCCTTTTACTATGAACACTCAATTAAAAACTAACTGTATTCCTAACACTGTAACTGCAACTGTATTTTAACCTCCCTCCCAGTTACTTCTGTCAATGACCCAAGGAGAGAGTTAAAACATGGAGTTTCATTTGTTTCAGTGTCATAAGACTCATAACTTCATTTATCATAACACTCTTGATGTCTGCTACACTGAAACAGATAAAGCTCTGTGTTTTTTGTGTCTCCCAGCTGTGGAGTGATTTTACTTCCCTCTTCAAATTAAACTGAGAGTGTGAAGAATGTGGCAAAATCTAGGCATGCATCTTCTGAGTGATAGGCAAACGGACAAGATCCCACAGAGCACCAAAAGGATAAACAAAAGCTTATCTGATGTGGGTGGTTGGGTGCGAGATCCCTGTCAAAGTTACACTCTTGGGAGAAGAGATGCAGCGAAGTGGTATTGCAGAAGTATGTGTTCTTCCGATAGAAAAGAACTCATAGGATTACATACAATGCAGGCTGACTGAACCCCACACATGCAAAGACCGTGTACCAATTGAGCCCATCCAGCTCAACTTTGCACTTATGGAAGTGTTTAGAGGTTTACCATTGGCTGCCCTGGGTAGACTGATGGAACCAGCATATGGAGGTGGGTCTTCATCACAGTGAGATTGGTCACGTTTCAGGAGGGCTCCTGAAACTGACCAAGACTACTCGGTTTCAAGCCCCCCCCCCCCAAATTTGGGGGAAAAGCAATTTTACTAGGAGAAGTGAAAGTCTGAAGTAACAGAATCTGACTGAGAAGGGAGGAGGCCGGGGGGGGGGACCCCTGGATTGGCCTCTCTTTGAAGCCGCATCTGGAAGCAGAAACTGAGTGGGTGCCATCTTGGCACAAAGCTGTGAAAGCCCCAATGGCAGAGAGCAGAAAAGTACAGAAGGATTTTGGAAACAATCTTGACCAGAACTTGAGGTAAGTGGCTTGCTTTACATATGGAACTTTTAAGGACCTAAACAATGAAGGGAGTGGGTGCAATCTGTAAAAGAAAGTGACTACACCTATATCTGGTCCAATTGGAGAGCATTCCCCTCCCCCTTCATCTGAGGCTTGACTGGGAGAAACAGAAACAAGGGAAGGGAGAAAAAACAACTATTATGGTAATAAAACTCACTTCCACAGGACAATATAACCATAAACTACTGATGGCTTTAAATCTGTGAAGCAGCCAAAAACAGTCTTGGGAAAAGCCTTTCCCTCTGTCAACTATTGCTAACTTTGAAGAAGCCTCAGGAGAGAGAGATTTAGTTGTAAATGTTTTCTACCCCAGTGAATAACTACTGTGGTTACTACCTGCTAGAAAGAAATCCAGATGCAGTGGTGCCTCGCTAGACAGTTACCCCGCATGACAGTCTTTTCGCTAGACATTGACTTTTTACGATCGCTACAGCGATTCGCAAAACAGTGATTTCTATGGGGGAATTTCACTAGACAATGTTTGGTCCCTGCTTCGCAAACCAATTTTCGCTAGACAATGATTTTGACAGCTCCCTCCACACTCTCAAAACAGGTGTTTTGGGGACCTAAGCTTCACAAGACAGCAATTTAAACAGCTGATCAGTGGTTCACAAAGCGGCTTTCCTATGGCCGATCTTCGCTAGACAACGACACTTCTTCCCCATTGTAACACATTAAACAGGTTTCAATGCATTCCAATAGGGAAATGCTTTTCGCTAAACAATTATTTCGCTAAATAATGATTTCAGTGGAATGGATTATCATTGTCTAGCGAGGCACCACTTTAATACCTCCAATCATGGGGCAACAAGACATTCTCTAGAATATTCAAAACATTATATTTAATGGACTACACCAGATAAAAGGAGAGATGGATCAGCTATTTGAACAAAATAAAGACATAGGAACACAAATGGAATTTATAATGAAGACAGAGGAAAAACCAGAACTTTGACAGGAAACTAATTTTTTAAAAGCACAAACAGAGGGAAGAAATTTTATTCTTAAAACCCAGAAAGCTTCAGGGGGAAAAAAGGTGAAGATACAATGCAGTGGAGAGCTATTTTGTTAATCCCTCTTATGGACATGCCAGCAGCAAATAGTGAAATTTACTATTAACTTGCTATGAAAGGGAGAAGAAGCAAGATAATGGGACACATGCTGTGGCAGATGGGGCAAAAGAGTGGATACATGGAGTGGATGAAGCTCTTGAGAATGGATGCATGATCCATACGATGGAAAATGAAAGATGACATGATAAGAGGAGCACAAAATATTGGTTAGAATATGGAGATAGACCAGTGGACATAAACATTGTAAAATTTAAGAAGGTATTTTGTGGTGGAAGAATATACAATAAAATAAATACAAACTAATGGCTATAACATTGATTTAGAGCAATAGATATAAATTTGGCAGAATGTTATTAAACCATTAAAATTAGTAAGTTCAATGATAAAAAAAAAGAGAAGGTCCAAGACAATGGAAGATTATTAATGATAGATATCTTGGAAAATTACTATTTTTCCCCCTTTTGGTATGATTTCCATTTTTAATATAATTGTATAAGCGGATGTAATAACATGAATTCAGAGCAATAGATATAAACTTTGCAGAATAATATCAAACCTATAAAATTAAGAAGTCTAAAGATAAAAAGAAAGAGAAGGTCCAAAAAAAATGGAAGATTAGTAATTATAGATATTTTGGAAAATTGCTATGATGTCTTAATTTTTTTTATTTTTGGTTAATTTCCCTTTGTAAATGTAATTGTATAAGCAGACCTAAGAATACTTTTCACTCTCTGGAATTTTACCCTTTCCTACCTTCATTCTCCCTCTTTTACCTGATCCCTCTATTTGTACCATAACTCCTATACCTATGAAAATTAATAAAAACTATTTTTAAAAAGAGAGAGAGGATAGTAGTCAGATTTGAAATGCCATATGTGTTCTACAGATAATTTTCCTTTTCCGCTACACATGTCTGTGTTTAGAAATGTGGTGCTTTAAATGTGTAGATTTCATGGGGCAGCCCTTCAGAGACAAATGTGTGTGTGTGGGGAAAGGTAATTGCATGAATGTGTTTTCAACAGAATCAGAGCCATTACAGAATAATCATATTAGGGCAACTAGAATCCCGAGACATTGTCCAAACAAGATGTATTAATTTTGTTCAGTTTCTATGGCTTACTTTTCTTCTTCATTTCTTTCTCCTGGCTTCAGGACAGCATGACAGTGCATTATTCATGTGCCCCTGACCCACAGATTAAGATCTATCAAAATGAGAGGTTACTAGAGCAAGACAGACAGTGTAAAAAACCTGATACCTTCCTTGTTAAATTTCCAGGAAGTGAAATTAACCATTCTTTCTAGACTTCAGATTAATTCCCCCCGTGTTGAAAAGCTTCAGATTCTTAAATGTTAACTGCCACATCCTAAGTAATGAAACACTTCAGAGCATTTTAATAGCTATCACCTCAAGCAAATATTAAATATAGTTCATTCAGAAAATATTTTAAAAAATGACAAAAATTCTTATGTAATAAAAAAGATAATAAAAGGTAACATTAACAGCACAAAGAGAAACAACAACCACGAATAACAGTGGTTTTTAAACAAAGTGTGATGATCAACTTCTAATACAATCATCAATCAACCACAGAAATGAATATTTTATAACCATTCAGATGGAATCATCTGAATGCCATCAGGACAATATCATTCCCAGTCAGTACATCTGAAATCAGTTGGTGCATTTTCTCTTACACCTTTCAGTATAATTCTAGAAAGATCTGAATCTATTAAGCTTCCATGTGACTGAATTAATAGTGCAATTTGTGGGCAAGGTACTAATAAATCTTCTCT